GTATTTACATCATATTCATATTTAAAGGGGACGTTTAGGTGTAATTATCTACTTATATATTTAATTATTACGTCAACCATCTACATAACGTTTGTCTGATGTCTTATGTTGCATTAAGACATTTCATTACGTGGTGGGAACGAGACTGTGCATGTATGTAAACTAGCACATACAGACGTGCACGTGTTGGTATGTTGGTGCACACCTGTACATGTATTTGTGTGTTTGCTTTTATATGTAGATGCATAACTGAGCACATTTCAGGCCCTGAGCTGCTGCTAGAAGACGTCCAGTCGCTGCATCATGACTTAAACTATTGTTTATGTCTCTGTTTTAGGAGAACAGTCCCAAAAATCATGAATAAATTCCACTGAAAACTGCAGAAAATGACATTTTAAACAGTTCCTCAAGTGTTTTTCTGCGTTGTCTTCAGCGTACGTGTATGACACGACTATAAATACACCAGAGCTCATGATGCAGCGATGAGTCTTGTGCCTCCGTCAGCCTCGATGAGCGGCGCTCTCCGGGGCCTCCGCTAGACTTCATCACATTACCGCCGTTAATTATAAACCTCCGTCCAACTGGGCTCAGACGGGCCCGGCCGGGAGACGGCGGCTCGTCTTAATGAAGACCACACGCAGGAACAACGGGAGCGTTTGCATTAAGGGGATCATCTTTATTGCCCAAAAATCCACCTGAGAATGAAATCAGCGCGACGCCGCTCGCCCAGACGGAGCGCGTCGGTTTATATACAGCAAATCATACGTGACATCGACCCAGAGCGCCGTGTCGCTGCTACATCTGATCACCTCGTCACAGAAATACGCTACAGAGTCACAGTACCTGGAGTTACATAAGGAGCCGTCGTTCTGAGGTTCCTGCTTCGTCCCGTCGCCGCGGGAAAAAACCAGAGGAAAGAAAAAAAACTTCACACGAAACACGCTAACAGATCACCGATTCCCCCGCAAACAGTATGGCTAAAAGGAAAGAGTAGTGCACAAGTTTCTACCATAGAAAAGACATCAAGCGCCTCCCTAGTCCGGTTATACAGTACGGCAGCCGTTGCACAGAGGTTAGGGTTCTAGCTACAGACTCCACAGGTCGTCCTCAGCCTCATGATATGCTATCGATAGGATCAGTGCTGGAGCAGAGAAGCTGGTAAAAAAATTATCTTACACGTTAAAAATCGTTAAAAAACCACCGCTGCTGCTCGTTAATGCCACGTCGGGAAAACAAAGAGAACAGAACAGAGCTGAATAAATACCACTTCTCCTTCCCTGAAGTCGTCGACTCAAACCGAAGCGCTTCCCCTCAGCAGACGGATAGATATATTTGCGACACACAGCAGAGCAGAGATGCAGGTTTACGTGAAAGTCTTACAGGCCACGTCGTATCACTACCGTTTATATTATTATTATTACTGTGGACGTTTGCTGGTATTATTGATAACATGAGTCTTTGGCGGACTAACTGTACGACTTTATCTCTACAAAACAAACCAAATCATAAACGCTTCCTCTAAACGCACGAGAATGCAGATTTTTACAGGCGTCAGCATGAATAAAACAATCCAGGAGGATCTTCAAGTATCAGGTGGTGTTTGGAGACAAGAAGCTCTACGTTTGGCGTGAACGGAAACGTCTCTGGACGGCGAGTCTTCGTCTTCGCCGTCCGTCTGCAGGTCGCCGCGGTGACTCGCCGCCGCCGTCGGGACGCTCGACTCCTTCGGCTCTGAAAGCGTCCCGGCCGACTGCAGATTGGAGACTTTCCTGTCAAATGCAAGCTGAAATGGACGAATGCGCGGTGCGAGCCTCCACCATTTACCCGTTATCCCTCGCCGCCTCCCCCGTCCGAAGCCCCGCCCCCCCGGGTCAGGCTTTGGCCTCGAGCAGTTCCAGGAACAGTTTGTGCATCGGCACGCGGCCGTCCTGTTTGATGCTGCAGAAGTGCTGCACGGCTCGGGCCGCCGTCTGCCGGAGCAGAGGCAGCGTCATGATCATCTTTCCCGCCCGCCGGGGATCCTCCGGGTGGTGGGCGGCCTCGTAGTCCTGCAGGGCGCCGTGGAGGACGTCCTGCAGCCGCTGGACCGCCTCCGAGTCCTC